GGTACTGGTGAATGGTAAAGGAATTCTAAAGGAAGTATTAAGGTGAGTTAAAAATGGGATTTGATAGCTGCCAAAGGAAATATGGTTGATTTAGTGTCGCAAAGATACTGAGCTTAGAAAAAGAAGAGAAACATTAATTCAGAAAGTTGATCAGCTTGTGTTCAAAATCAGACTGCATTAATTTAGTGGTTGGGTTTAATGGGCAGGGTGTTGGGTTAAATTTCCATGACCGCATGAATACCTACCAGGAAATGCCCCTTCTGCAGAGAGAACACTGTTTTGGCATGGAGAGCAGGCAGTTATATGACAGACAGACCCTCTGCAGAATCACCAGATCCATAACTAGATTCCTTTCTTTTATTTTTGGGCGTTATGTTAAATTGGTGCCCAAGGCTTGTGATGCATGAAACGGTGCTGCCTATGCAAAAAGAAACACCACAAGAGGAAGCTGCTGTCCAAAGTTTAACAGGCCTGCAAACAAGCCACATATTCTGCCACCATATAAAAAGAAGGAAAAGCAACTGGGAGCCAGACCCCAGCTATTACTTCCACATTCGTTATTCTTAACCAAAACGGCCCAATTCCTCAGAGGTATTTAGGCTCCTGACTTCTCCACAAACTGCAGATATTAGGGTCAGCTTAAAGGAATGCTGTTCTTAAGGGGACGATTCTTTCTCATATGGAAATATCGCAAGGAGAAGGTGCCTGCCAGGTCTGTTTCACAAACCTTCAATGGCCAGAAGCTTTCCCTCCTGAACAATGTCTACTGAAGAGTTTGACTTAGGCTCAGATATCACTGACTTTATGCTAAAAACAAGCCTACATTGGAAAAGCACACCAATGGAATTAACACCCAGTCCGAAAGAAAGCAAGAAGGCAGAGAGAAAACTCAGTACAGAGAGCCTGAAAAAGGAATGAGTTTTGGAAAAGAACAGAACAACAGATGCTCTGAAGTCTGATCCAATACTTGTTGAAGGCAAAGCTGGAACAGAACAGAACAGAACAGAACAACAGATGCTCTAAAGTCTGATCCAATACTTGTTGAAGGCAAAGGAAAGGTTCCCATTTGCATTGGTTAAGGTCCTTTGTGACTACCCCATGGATACTAGCACCAGCCTTGCTTTTTGTGGCACGTGTTCTGTTCCTGTCATCTAGCACGGGCTGCCTGTTAGGTTGGCAAATCTGGGGAGGTTTTGTTCATTTGTTTGATTTTAAAAATGGAATCCCCCCTTGGGAAAGAGGGAAAATGTTGCTGTGCCAAGTCTGTTTCTGAACTTTCAATGAGCTTTGAAACTCAAAAGGCAGCTTACGAGGTTTTCAAAGACTTCAGCTCCAGGGGGTTCGTAACTCTAACATCAGCCACAATGCATCTGGTCACTCGGTAAATATGAAGCCTTGGGCAGGGGGTAGAGCTGAGATGATACAGAAAAGCAGAACAACCCAGAATTTGCTCTTTCCTGGGGTCAGTGAAAATGTGGCTTTGCTATCTAATTCTGACACACAACATTCCACCTTCTTTTCGGTGGTAACGGGCACGGTTTAGGGCAGCTTTTGACGTTGTGGGGGTTTTGTCATGTATTTCTTCCTGGTGCCCTGGCTAAACCTATTCCATCAACTCAGGAACAGCAGAACCCATTTAAACGTTACCTCTGGACTGCATGTGAAGAAGGAAACACAACCCCCAGAGGGTGCCAGAGGACAGTATAAAGTTGTTACCCCTCAAAGCTACCCAATGAATTTGGCAAGGGTCCATCAACTCCTCCCAATATGCAGCCAGGCAGAACAAAGATTCGATGTGGAGAGTTTCTCCCAGACTGTGTTGGGCAACACTTTGGGAGGAGGAGACGGAGGTGAGGGAAAAGGGCTCACACGGTCCAGTGGCGGAAGAGGAGTTTTGGGGCGATAAGGACCAGGGTCTGGCAGCTACCACCACAGGTTCCCAACCCTTCCAGGTTTCCCCACAAATAGGTTTGTCTAGTTTAGTGCATGACTGGATATACTGTTTGGCTACATTAGGGTGGGGTTCCCTGATGACTGTATTGCCCTCATAGACCTAACGTTATGCTGCTAAAGGGAAAGAAGAGAGTATTAAGTTGAACAATCTCAATGGAGCAGAGGAAACTCGAAAAGCATAAAATAGCTCACATTTCTGTCTCTCTCTCTCTCCCCCCTTCATCCCTCTCTCCTGAATCTAGATTTGAGGCACAGCAGCTGAACTGGGGCAGCATTTTAGCTGTGACTTGCATACATAAAAGTTGCCAGTGTTCCCTTTCTGGCACTCATGACTTCACTTTTATATTTTATGCATACGCACAATGACATGGCAGCCTCTGAAGCACTCGGGGTCTGTCAGGTAAGCTTGTTAGAGGCTCTCAACCCCCCAGGAAAGGCTGCTGCTGCACAATTTTAAATACCCACACACTCCATCCTGGCACCTGACAGACAGCACAGGTCACGCTAAGCAATGCTTGGGAGCACACGGGCAAAACAATGTGAAAGGGGGACTGTCTCATCTATTTGGCTGTCAGCATCTCATGGCAGGGCCATGCTATGGCTCCATTCGCAAGGGTGGAGGGGCATTCTTGGGTGATCCTTAGGTGACGATGTCATAAATGTGATTACCAGCAACTGCCTCTGTTACAGGTGCATATAACTACGCCTATCTGCAGTGGTGACCCACCTACTTTGCTGGCCTAGGGGGCTAAGCATGCAGGTACTGAGGCAAATACTAAAATACCTATTGAGGAATGCACCTGAGGTTCTCCCTGCTCAGCCTATGCATAAGCCAGGACCACAGCTAGCACTTGCCCGACTCGCTGAGCATAAAATCACACACCTCAGCTAAAGTAAAGTCGCTCTGGGAAGATGAAAACTCTCTCTACCATCTGCAGCCAGCAGCCACACTCACAGTCTCTCCCCTTTGCTGTCTCTCTGCCTCTCCTGTCTTCCTTCGCGCCTCTCTCCCCCATCACAAACACAGTGGGTAGGTATACACCGACTCCCACCTACTGCCTCTTCCAAGCTTTCTTATCCTTGCCAAAACCGGCAGCTGTTCCGCTTCTGCAACATGCATGCGATCGGGGGTTGTAGGAGATGGCATTGTGCCTCGGATGTAGCACTGTGTGTGAGCAAGACAGCTCTTCCTTTCTCTTCTTCCGCTGTGCCATTCATTCAGTCGCACCCACAAACCTGGCCTGTCTTAGTGTTTTCACGAGTTGGACCTTTTTTTTTTTTTTTTAAAAGACCCAAAAAGAAACCCAGACAGGTGTGAAACATTCTTCCACCATCCATGGGAAGAGGTTATTGTGGGAAAAGCCTGGAAGAGGTAGTGGAAGTACAGCGCATACAGGAAAAGGGCAGTTCTCTGTCCCCCTCTAGCAGGAGTGGGCCCTTTTAAAGAGATTTCTGACTCTGCTAATGAACCCTCGCTCCTTACCCCAATGGCTCAAGCGAATGCTTTGAACCCGGAAGTCCAATCTCTGTTCCTGCAGATACCATAACCAGGGAGGTTGTTATAGGGGTCTTGACCTCTTTCAAGCCCTGATGTAACATCTGCCAATTTAGGCTGTTATAAATACCCTTATCACTGCTGTGGTTAAGCACTTCAGACATATTACTTTGAATTTATCTCCACATCTTCCTGCGAAGAAGGAAAGCTGATGGTGTTATGCAGGGAAAACGTAGCCCCCTTCTCTAATATTTTGTCTAATAGTCTTTGTAAATTATTATTTTTTAAACCTTGTCTCTTGTCCTTCCGACAGTTTCTGGACATAGATTTACCTTCTGTTTCCAATAATTCAGTGCACTCAAGGTTACTTTTAATTCTTTCTCTTTACGATATAAACTGGGGGACTTTGCAGCAGAAGTGGCCCATTCACTCACAACATTTAAAAGCAGAACTGGGGACCCCAGCAGAAAGCCAATTGTGGTGTTTTTTTCCGTGAGGACCAAGATAGCAATGCAAATGAGGAGATACATGGTGACAGTTTCACTTCAAGATCAAAAACCCGCGAGAGCATTTTGCCATCTTTCACTTGCCTTTCCTATGTGAAATGACAGTGTCAAGGTGGCCCTAATGCCTAGAAAATAGTAACAAACTTGAGCAGACAAGGGAAAGTTGGCTCAATAGGTGAAAGCAAAATTAATAAATGCCACAAACACAAAGGATTTAATTCCTACTCGCATAATACTACAGGGTTGTAAAACCCACTGAAGGCAATGGGAGTTTTTGACTGAAATGTTCAGTACCTACTAATCACATTAGTTATCCTATGTGGCAGCTGGTAACATCCTTGTATTATATATAGGCATTTGAAAGCAGGCCTGGCCTCGCCAAAAGGTACAAACCACCAAGTAAAATAGGTCGTCTAGCTGCTAGGGATCCAAAATGAGCTATGTAAAATGGAGAGGTGACTTAGCTATCAGAAGACATTGCAGGGAAAGGAAATACTCAAAGGGCTGTCGGGCTACACATTTCTAAGATCTAAACAAACTTGGTACTGTGTTTATATATAAGCATGATGAACAATTGTTCACTTCTGCTGCAACAAAGCTGTCCTAAGGGAAGGTTGAGAATGCAAACTGTTTTCCTTCAGAATGATGTAACATTGTACTACAGAAAACATTAACACAAAATTACACTTTCATCATGAAGCACCAAAGGAAAGGAAAAGAGAATCCAGTCATTTTACATTAAACAGACTGTCTCCGTCTACACTGTCAGGTTTTTGCAGAAGAGGAAATGCAAATGAAGCACTCATTAGCATTTCTCGTGCTCTCATTTGCATATTCTCTTCTGATCCTTTTTGCGGAAGAGGTTTTTGCGGGGAAAAAAACGCAGTGTAGATGGGGACATTTTGGGCAAAAAAAACCTTTTGTTTACAAGAATCTTTATTCTCAAAAAATGAGGACTAAGGCTTGTGTGCAAAAGGGATTTTTTGTGCAAAATGGTCCCATCTACACTGAGGTTTTTTCCGCAAAAAGGATTGGAAGCGTATGCAAATGAGAGCATGAGAAATGCTAATGAGCAGTTCATTTGCATTTCCTCTTCTGCAAAAACAAAGCAGTGTAGATGGAGCCAGAGTGTGGATAAAAGGTAGACCAAAAAGAATGGCCACTAAAACCATTGGGCATATTGTATTGCAGGAATTTAATGATTATGGAACAAAGATTCTTGTAAACAAAAGGCTAGGACATTGTCGGACTAAACTGTATAGGTCCAGTCAAACAGTAAATATTTTTTATAGATTCAACTGCTTAGAAAAAAATGCTTTGAAGTTGTTTATGGGAACATGCAAAATACTGGTTATCAGTTCTGAACTTTGATTAAATACATGGTTGTACAAATAATCTCAAACATAAGATCCCAGATAAGAAAAGTATGTAAGTGTCCATGTAAATGTAGCCATGAAAATAGTTCCATTTAAGGCAACAGGACATGTTTAAAATCACGCATATATTTAAATACCTTTCTGAATCTGGGAGTAATTTAGTGTATGTTTTGATGCAACGTGTCTCTTGATAGACACTATTAAAGGCATCTGTCAGTAACAGGGTCTGTTTGCTGACTGTAACATCTATTATCATTTCCTGGGAGTTATGCAATGCATTGAGGGGTGAAGACAGCCGATAATCCAAAAACCTGCTGATCTGGGCTAGGTATTATGGTTTGTTTGGATTCAGTGAAATACTGTAATGATATTGCACTAGTACATTATAGCACCCTGTAATCCTAGCCCATCAAAATGTTTATACTAGTACTTTGAAACAATCCTACATTTCTCTTTGTGGTAGATGTTAGAATTTGGCATTACTGCCATAGCACCGTTATTTTTTCTTTTTCTAGCTTCTATGACATGGGCATTACTATGGTAGTGGTAAAATCTCTATAAGAGAAAAAAAAGTCATTTGCGCCGTATTTCCAGTTTAACGTAGCTTTCTCTTCGTCTCTTTTTTCCTTTTCTCAGCTATCAGCTCCTGAATCCTTTGGTTCTTTGTCCTTTCATAAGGGAGCTTCCTCCTTGGGATGATGTTGTGCTGTGGTACTTCATTGTCCAGCCCGTCGATTTTATATGGCACGTCTACTACATTAATTTCTGGGTGGTCCTCAGTTGCATTGGAACGGGTAGTGTTTGATTTGGAAACAAGAAGGGGTCCAGCAGTAGTCTGCATGACAAGAACCCCTGTAGGAGGAGTGAGGGTAGGCAGGAGGTTCTCTTCAATGTCATTCTTACGTCCGTTAGAGTCAGTTATGTTGTCATCCTTGGTTATGTTGTTATACGTTTTACAGGACTTGCAACACAGCTTATTGTACCGAGGAATGGAACAGTAACGAGAGAGAACATCCATGCGACAAAACATGGACTTGTCTCCTTGGCACTGCTCCCCTGAAAGAGAAAAATAGGAAAAGTAAATAAACAGCAGGTGGAGAAAAGTCGTCTTCAAGAAAAGTTTTTAAAGTTGTATCCTATAAAATCAGAACTAGCAAGAGACACACTCAGGCTTTGGCAAAGGGGACAGGGTTTGTAATGCAAACTGGGCTGGTATCTTTTGACAAATGGGCCCTTTAAATTATAGAGGGGCTAACTGAAACCCTACATCCTTACCCACCATCAAAGTCTGAGGTAATCAAAATCAGATCTGAGTTGCCATGTTGGCCCTATCACTATGATAAATCTGATGTCTTTCCCTTATGCTGTACTAACACTAAGGTGTGGTGCTGACATGAATGTATGGCATTTTTGTGAAGTATAACAACTATGTTGTTACTCCTGAATTCCACTCATGGATAGCTAAAGTCACAAATAATACTCAGGTACTCTTTATTCCTTCACTCCTTTTACATGCGCTCATGCAGAATAGCACTTCCTCATTTAATACTATACATATGTTTTAGAAAATGATCTTGTTAAGTGAAAACGTGTTTTGCGGAGTCAATTTTCCCATTGAAAATAATGGAAAAGGTGAGGGTTGCGTTTCAAGCGGTGGTGTCTGTTGGGACCGGGACATAAAGTTGGGGGAGAAAGGGTATTGAGTTACAGCAGGGAGGGGAGGTGTTTGGTTCTAGGGAAGAGAAGGGGAGGAGGGGAGAGAGGGATTGGCTTGGGAGTATGTCCCTGTGACGGGTCTACTGGGACCCACACTGCATCCGGCGAGGGGGGGGGGGTCACCAGGGAATGGCGCAGCGAGCGGCAAACCCTTTGTCACTTTGCAGGGAGGCAGGGAAAGCCACGCACAGCCACCGGCAACGGGCCAGCTGGGGAAATCTTGTTATTCCGGGGACAGTCGTGTAATTCAAAAAACGTTCCCTACAAAAAAATCGTGCTATCGCGAAACCGTGTTAAGCGGGCATGTGTTAAATGAGGAATTACTGTAATTTAATTAAAACAAGGAGAAATTGAGTCTAAACAGCTACTAGTCTCAGGTGTGGGCTGGGCTTACATACATATGCATATCTCTGAGCTTCAAAAAGCCATAGTTTTGTCTGAGAGACTGCATGGTTATCTTGCCTGAGAAGACTTTGAAGCAAACCATTCCAACCTTTCAGGTGGAATTTGGAAGTGGTGAACTTTTTACACAAGCGAGGTAGAATTGTGCTAATTGACGTTTGTGACTGGAAGACTCACTGCAAATTCCTCACTTTTGCAAATCTGGGAATAATGAAAAGTAATACAAATTAATCCAGGATAATTCATAGATGTGTTCAGGCCTGAAGGAATGATTTAGAGCATCTAGTCTGAATGGGTCACGAGGAATGCTCTGGTGTCAGGCTTCTTTCGGAAAAACCTTTTTTCAGAAGAGATCTTCCGAAAAAACTTCTTGCAAAAGAGAGTGTCCACACACAAAAGCACATCGAAAAAGTGATCTGCTTTTTCGAAAGATAGTGTCCATACTGAATGGACTCTATCTGGCATTTCAGCTGTGATTACTATGGACGGAGTGGCCACCAGGACACCTGTGCTTTTTCTTCTTTCCTCTTCTTTCGAAAGAACTCCCTCTTCCCCATCCACACACACCTTCTTCCGAAAGAGCTCTATCGGAAAAAGGCTTCTTCGTCATAGAAAGCGGATTACCAACACTGGAAAAAACCACTCTGTTTTTTCAATTTACTTTCGGAAGAACAAGATTGCAGTGTGGACGTAACTCAAGTTTTGTCGGAAAAATGGCCATTTTTCTGACAAAACTCTAGTGTAGACTTGCCCTCAGTGAACTGTATGTGCAAAGCTGAGAATGAGGGGGTTGGCCATATTTTTCTTCTTATGGTAAAGCACTACTCAGACACTAGTTGGGGCACAAAGGGTTTTATTAGTCTGCCCAGGGGTGGGGAGACATCTTTAATCAGCAATTCTTGTTCAGTGGAAGCTAACCAAGGCTAGCGCTTTCCCCCTGTCTCCCTTTTACCCACAGAGGAGTCACTGCACTGTTGGGGACAGAAGGTTCCATTCCCCTGCACAGACCCAGTTCTACAGGAGCTCTCTGTTCTGTTCACTATGATAGCAGCAGTGGGACTGTTGTCTTGCCTAGAACTAGGAGATACTGGGGCACCGCAGCTAACAGAATTACATTGATGCCTGCTAGGGATGTAAAATCCCAGCTCATCAGTTAACCAGTTAAATAGACCACTCCTGGGCCCTTGTGTGCGGGGTGACCAGGTTCTGCTCCTGAGCACCCGATTAAACCAGTAAGGAGGATGCCAGTTAACCAGTACCCAGCAAGCATCACCTGGTAAGGATGTGAATGGATACCAGTTAATGGGTTACCCAGTAAAGGTGATGCTTACCGGGTAACTGGTTACCCATTCACATCCCTGATGCTTGCCATCCAAATAAACCCAAACTGGGGAAAAGTGCTGAGGTAGAGCTTAGAATGACACTTTGAATCATTAGTTGCACAAGTTATTTTTTTTCAGCACTCATGATGTGGACAGTAGCTTTATAAACTCTCTTCTGCAGTAACCCAGGAGTTACAGACAAACATGGCTACCTCTCTGAGACAATCATACCTATTGACCAGTCATAATAACAAAAGTTGTTGTGAACTTCTTTAGGACGAGATGTGTAATTTCAAATACTTGCCTTAATTCGCAGTGTACCTGATTGCAGAACATATATGGCTTTATGTACGGTTAGCATTACTGATACCATTCTTTGCTACCCTTTTATGGGCTCTCAGCAACATTGCAGTAAATGACAAGCACTGCAGCAGATTCAGAAATATTACGTGAACTTAGAAAGCATTAGTGTCATCTCTTCATTCATCCGCCGTTAAAAATATAGTGTTTAATTGGCAAACATATCAGTCCAGCATATGCTAATTTCTATTGCTCTTGCTTTGAAAAGCTAGGGTTGACTGACAAGGCTGAAACTGCATCTTTGCAAACTAACCCATTTATCCATTGATTATTGCAATTTCTGTAGAAAACAAAAATATGGTTCTTATTTTGTCAGTTTATTTTCAGATGATAAACTGAGACAACAGCCAGAAGGAACTCCTTCCTTGAAATCTGAGAATAATTGAATTTTGGACAAATGTTCAAAGCAGCTTCAAACCTGCAGATGCATTTTAATGTGTGCAAGCTTTTGCATGCAAAACTTATGCATGAAGAAAGTTGTATAGATCACATTGAGGCCACTTTGAACATTTTGCCCTGTATGACTTTAGTACAGGCTTTTCCAAATACACTGTGCCCGCTGAATTTTCTGCAAGCTGACATTTAAATTTAGTTACAAAAGGCACAGCCATTCATGTTTATATATTATAAGGATTACTCAAAGTCTCTTTAGAAAAATGCCTTGTTTTTTTGAGTAAAAATATGCAGTATCAAGCATAAAAACTACACGAGAATCAAATTCCAGTATCTAATAAAAATGTTTAGTTTTATGAGCTATTTTACATGAATGAATTTCCAAAATCTTATAACTCAATGAAAATCAGAATGAAATTTATTCTGCATTTCCAGACCAAAATATTCAGATGTGCTGAACTTTTATTTGTTTTATTTGCAGTATGCATAACAGACTGGAAGTATACTTTCAAATCATCGGTTAAAAAAAAAAAGTCTGTTTCAAAGTCACTTTGGTACCCATTAAATTGGTCTCATAAAAAATATTGGGAAAGCAAACTGAATTGGCACATCTTTAATAGTTATGTTCAATACATACAAAACACTAATAAAATATCCCTGATAAACCAAAGTGCAGATAGACATAGTGCACAATGCCCAGATACCTTATTGCACCATTCTCGATAGCCACCCATATCTTGAAACATCACTAAACATTTGTCTATTTAAAGGTAACAGTCATGAATATATGTATACAATTAAACACCAATTATTTTACATAACAGTACTCAGTGCCAGAGATGTCTTTGCTTTTGTATCTTGTCATGTAAATTATTAACATGTTTCAAGAAATTATCATATTAACAGCAAAATTTAAATATGTGATCACATGATAATGACAAGTTTGAAGTGCTACATTGCTGAAGATAACAAAGATTTGAAAGTGCCACCTTCCTAAGGGATATGGTCAGTGGAATAAGATAGCAATTTGCTATGTAAATCAAACACTGCTTTTAAAAACTGATATGCTTCTACTATTACTCGATGTCACAAATGGTTTTATGAATAGTGAATTCCAAATCTTCAACACAAACACATAAGGTGAAGCAACAATGGCAATTATATTTTGACCTTTTCTTTATGAAATGTACATGAACTGTGCAAGTTAACCTTGGATTAAATTTACTTCCTTCTAATAGTTTCTCATTCAAGTAAAAATGCTTGTTTATGAAGATTAACTCGTGTTCCCAGTATACTGTTTGTATTTAAAGCTGGATCTGGTACTTAATGCCATTATATGTAAACATTAAGGCATTTTTCTAAAATTTATTTTTTCTATGCAAAAAAAAAAAGCAATAAAAATTGAGGTAATTCTGTAGTTCACACTGTTATGTTTGCCAGTTGACACATAGATACAACATACGCACACACACTCATACCAATCAAGTCAAACATGCATATGGTGAAAAAAGACCAATGGATGTAATGACCATAAATAGTTCAATATTGTGCAACGTGAGACACCATAGTCAATGATAATGTCCTAATGCCTCAACCATGTTTTAAAAAAGCGAACAACAAACCATTAGCTTGGATCACTTACATTTAACAAAACATAGGAAAATATGCATAACTCTGGCAAAACTATATGAAAAAAAAGAACCTTTCAGCTTTGGAAAAGAAAATACTCAAACCAGGAAGAGTTTGAAGTCAGCCTACAGCACAATAGAAGCATTTAAAATATCAGTGGAAACAGAGCAACTTGTAATAACCTTTTCACAATAAAAAACACAGTTATTAAGTTAGGAATCAATTTGAGCAGCATGGGTAAGTAAGCGATGACACAGCAACGGAAAATGGAATGAATTCTTTCATTCAGCAAACTACCCCGTAAGGAAAACTTAGAGTGTTATGAGATTCAGGGCCTTGAGATAAAGGAGAACTTTAGCACTACAAGGTGTCATTATTGTGATGTGATCACATTCACAATAAGTTCTCAGTTTTGTTATCAAACTGAACATCATGAACCAGTAAGCCTTTTTTCACCATCACCAACCAACAAGCAAACTGACCCCAGCTCCCTTTCAGAGAAGTGCAACATACTGCGGAGATCCTACTTCACACATCCAACAACTTCAATACCTCTGCCATCAGTGGTGCCCGAACTCTAGAGAAGAAAGACACCACGTGCCAAGGGCCCCGTGTGAGAAAAAGATTCAGCCCAAGATTTAACTTGGTAAAGTCAAGGGAATTTTCCACATAGAGAGAGGAAAAAAGCAAAAGGCAAAGTCCACATTTGCTGTGGCATGCATTTAAGGGCAAAGGCAGAGTTATAAATGGGTCTTTTACTTGAAGATATTTTCTGGATGGGATATTCTCCATCGGGTCTTGACAGCCATTGTATCATGTAGGTTTTCTTTGATGGATCAGAAACATTTCCTGGAATAGAGGAAAGAATGTAAGCACAAAATATATTAACATTAGTAGCTTTGCTAGGTCTTAACTGTGCCACATTGAGCTGGATTTAGTGGAAAAAGCAGCAGAAAGACTAGAATGTTGCTAGGTCGGTATTTTTTAGAATAACTGAATAGTTAATTTATAACATCCATCAATCATTTTGTTTGCTGGGTTTGGAGTGGAATAATAAACGTTGAGGGAAGACTGAAAAGTACCAGTTTCCAGTCGCAGTATTAACCCTCTACTGCAGAGTAAGGGTCATCAGATTTTTGTTTAACAGCTGTATCCTTTAGAATCTTTGGCGTGGTACATGTAAGTGATGGCCTGTTGACTTATTAAGAAGTGTAATTCAAAGGCAGGATTCATACTTTGAAAAACATCAGTATAATTATTGAGAACATTAACTAATCTACTACATATTTAAGAGAGTTTGTCTGTCAGTGAGTGAGTGTGTTTGTTTATCTGTCCATCTGTTTGTCCAAGAACTCCTCCTAAATGCTAGGACCACCAAATTTGATATGCAGCTTCCTTTGATCATAACTTAACGCAAGGAAAGGGTTTGGTTGTGCCTGGAAAACTGGATGTGCCTGGAATGGGATTGCTTCTCATAACATGAGAAGGGCGGGTTCTGCTAGCAGGGACAGTTATACTGTGTAATGACCATAGGAGGGCAGCAAGGTGCAAGGGATGGGGACCAGGATAGCTATAACCCCAATGGGGCATCAGAGGGTAGGTGTGGGGGGAAAGGACAGTTATCTATTTGAGAGAGTTTGTCTGTGTGTCTGTCCCCCAGTTGGGGGACATGCATCCCTCCCCTGGCTGTGCCTGCTGTAGCAGCCATAGAGAAGTGCTTCTCACCTGGCCCTACACTACTGACGTGATGGGGAAAAGCTGGGGTTGTCCTCTCTCCCTGGGCAGCCTGCAGACTGAACCCCTCCTCCCCTGCCCCACCACAGGACAATGATTTAAATGAAGACAAACAAAACGTATGTGAGTTAAGGACCTGAGCAACACTGGGTAAATCTTCTACCTATTGAATAATAACTAAAATGATACAATGTATCATTTAAAAGGACCTCACAGGCGATATTTACAAAAGGCAAAAAAGCTAATGAAGCCAGGAACAGGCTCAGGTAACTCCTAAGGTGACGTGTCCTGACAGAAGTGAAAGGAAGAGAGCTACAGCTCTGAGGTGTCATTGGTGGAGAGATGGAACAGGAGGAGGACCCACCGCTGCTTTAATAGTTACTGCCCCCCTCCCCCCACACTCTGCCCAATGCCAACCCTTCTCAGACGCAGTGGTACTGAGCTGCACCAGTTCCCATAGCATCAACTAACAGGTGCCATTCTCTGGCTTCTAGCTTGCAATAGCATAGCAGCTGGGTTGGCTAGTGCCCCGTATCACTGTGAAATAATGAGGCATAGAAAGCATGCTAGCGATACAGATCACTTATGGCAATCGAGGGGCAATCGAGACCAGTGAGTGGGTCATACAAGGGGCCCTCCTTCATCTCACTGGGAAGAAAATAGCAGAATCTGGCAGCCCTGCATGAGGGCAAAGGTAAACAAAATGTCTCTCAGGACACATCCAGAACCCCAATGGTCCACCTGAGGCCTGTGGGACAAAAGTTGCCCACCACAGACTTATACAGGTCCACAATCCCATTGACACTCAAAACCTGTGGCACAAACTGCAGAATACAAATTAGCCTCTGGCACGCATGGGAATTCAGCTTCACTGTTGAATCAGATTGAATTGAAATAATGTTTGCAAAATTAGCAAGACATGCCGACGACAAGGACAAAGAGCAAAGTACTTACGGGGGCACAGAGTTAGTCTGCAGATCCTCACTGTCTCTGGTTTGTCTTCTTTACAATAACCACTGGCATCGGCTTTTGTCCTGCACAAAACTTGCCTTTCCTGGGTGCCATTACCACAAGTTACAGAGCACTGGGGAGAAAATGCACCAATTAGGCCTCCATTCACCTTTGGCATCTGATTTATTAGGAATTCTCTTTTTAGACTGGACTGCAGTCCAGCTATGTATGGTGCATAATGTGTCCTGACTAAGTTTTCACATTCACACACCAGGACCAAGCATAGACCCTTCCTATTCTGGTGAGAGTCCACTGTGCTAGGCACTGTGAAAACATGGTTCCTCCCTAGAATAGGTCAAAGTCCAAACAGTAGATGACTAACACTATATGAGAGCCATCTAGCCACGGCCCCTGTGCTGGACTGTGTTGCTTACAATCCCTATGAAAGCCACCAAGAAAAAAGAATCCTACAGCTCCTGATGGTATAGCAGAGCTCTACAATCATATGTTGTACTGACCGATACAGCTACTCTTTGCAAACTGCTTCATAGAGAATCACCATGACAAACTGGAATGATCACGTACATCAACATTTTCCGTGGAGTTCTACATGTAATGCCACTGCCTTGCACTTGCATCTCTCCTTCCAGCTGATGAGCTCAGAGCACTTTACAAATATGAACAGATCAAGCCCTGCAACACTCCTGGGAAGTTGTTAAATAGTTTCCACCCGGGGAAACTGAGTACAATGAGGGGGAGTGACTTGTCTGAAGTCTCATGTTATGTTAGTGAAACCATTTTGAGAAACCTGCTAACAGGCTGCTCCGGTGTGTTTATTTACTGGCTCTGTGGCCACAGACCCTCGTGGCGCCCATTGATTCCGGTTCACTATTTGCAGCAAAGAGGAACTTCAGGGAGTGATGGCCTGGCCCATGCTGTTTCTCACAGCTCCCCGCGGCTGCAAAGGGTGAACTGGAGTCAATGGGAGCCACAAGGCTCCATGACCGCAGAGCCGGTACATAAACACACTAGAGCAGCCAGTTAGCAAGTTTCTCAAGTGGTTTCGCAGACCACTTTGAGAAACACTGTGTTAGTGGAAGAGTCAGGAATAGGAAGTTTGAAACGCCTGACTCCTGGAACACTGTTAAACCCATTGGAATTGCTTTGCACCTGTCATCTCTGTATGGAAAAGCAGCATCAGAAGAACAACCACCCTGTAGTTCCCTTTGCTCAAGCTCAGAAACCTGTATTGGTCTTAATAGCTGTATCCCTCATAATGCCTTTTCTTTGTCAAAGTTGCCCAATGCCCATTTACTTCCAATGAGGCTGGGTGCTTCACTCCTTTAGGCACTTCTAAAAATCCCAGCCACGTCACTAAAGGACTTGAAGGGGAAAAGGAAAAGGGATGACACAAGCATCAACAGCATTTTTTTCTCACTTCATTTGGTGAAATAGTTGAAATGACACACAGAAAAGAAATGCTGAAAGAGCCATTTTTTTTACTTCTACAACTGCAACCCGGAACAGATCGATCTGGTTTATGGGAGTTAAATCAAGCAGCACTGTTTCAGAATAAATTACGAGGTGTTTTACTGCTGTCCATACTGCCAGTACCCCATCTAAACTCCACTGGAGGCTGAATTAGTTCCAGTGTATACAGCACACTCAACATTGGCAAGTGGAAGTTTTCCAGTCAGTGCAGTCGCTGGACAGGACAACTGGCTAAAGAGTCCCCCTTCCCCACTTTATAAAATCTTACGAAAAATATGATTGCTAATTTGTTATGAATGCGACCTACCTGTGACCAGGGTCCCAGCCTCCACTGTCCAGGACAAAGTTCTCGATTGCAAGGCCTTCTGCCTTCGGGACGCTCAGTGTTGCAATATTTGGTATGAACAGAACGATTTGTGTTGTCGTGCAGGAGTTGGATGCACCGTACAGAACGCACTTGATAACCTGTTTTTCCACAGCTTTTGCTGCAGGGCTCCCAGTCTCCTGTAACCCATCTGATGAATGAAAAATAGAACATGTGAGGTAAAACATACAGGGCTTGTGTAAATGTTTGTTGAATTATAATTCTAAAATGTCAAGGTTGGCAGTTGGGTGAGCTTGATCCTAATCTAGCAGATGAAAGAGGATAAGTAAAAATAACTAAATGTGCCGGGAAGGCTGAATTAGGCACAGCACCGACTCTGTGAGTAAGTGGCTAAATGTATCCAAGCAGTGTCTTCTGCACTGGAAAGAGACTGCAAGGCGGATCATTGTGGTAGCAGTGATGGCTACTGTAATTAGAACTGATTTAGTGCAGCGAGGCAGACAGCCACCATGGGCCCTAGGGCAAGGTGTGTGGGGGAGGGCACTGGCTGTGCACCCCCCAGAAGGGGCAGGGCCTCAGAGGGAAAGGGTGGAGCAGCCAATCCTCAGCACTGCCAGCACCGCAGTGCACCCACCTCAATCCCCAGCCCTCAGAGCAACCTGGAGCACATGGCATAGTGCTCCAGGGGCAATTCAAAGGGGCCTGGGGCTCCAGCTGCCACTGCAGGTGCAGTAGCAATGGCAGTGAGAGCCCCGGGCCCCTTTGAATCACCAAGCCCCAAGGCAATAGCCCCCTTTGGTCCCCACATCAGTGGCCTGATTATGTGTCTTACCATTCCAAGCAAGCTACGGAAGGAATTTAGTTTAGCAACTTAACATTTTAGTTCCAGCCGCTGTTAATACTGGGAGGTTTGCATTGGAAAGGATTATGAAGAAAGATCAGATGGAAGTGAACTTTGCGTACAGGGGATGCTAGCAGAATTCTAAATCCCATAGCTAAACCTTCCTGTACATGTCTCAGACTGGTTAGGACAGGACAAGGGAACACACACAAATACATTTCTGAGACTTTCAGAATTTTCTGCACTGGCATAATTCAAAGTGCAGCGTTCCAGAACCAAACCTGTTACATGATTAGTTCTTTAATAAGGGGAAAGTACTGCCTATTCTGAAAAACAGCCCTTAAAAACTAATGCTTTTGATCTGCACCATGTGAAATTTTGTCCGTTGTAGGGTCACTTTCGTGGTTTAGACTGGTTCAGTGCTGCCATTTTGAATTCAGTGCTCTCTCATTGTATTCAGTTGGAGGTTGAAATCCCCATATGTGCTCCTGGCAAAAGAGGTGTTTTGTCTTTAATATTAACAACAGAACTGGAAGGGACCTTGAGAGGTCATCGAGTCCAGTCCCCTGCCCTCATGGCAGGACCCAGTACCATCCCTTAAAGATGTAAGCAGGTTAGGGAGGCACATTTACATACCCATTTCAAAGCTTGCACTTTCTACTCCTATTGAACCCCTCCCTACACTCATCTCATAATAACTTATTTTCTTCTCAACTTTTTACTGTTTATGATATTCTTGTGAGTAGAAGGCAGCTTCGCTACAATTATACTGTAGTTGAAAGCATAAAAACCAGAGGCATGAATCTCATTATAATGAAGGTCACATCTCTTCCTCCTGTATGTCAGTATTGTATCATGTGAGGTAACCAAAGTCATCACTGTAGTAATGATTTCTAACTGTGGCACAAGTACAGCTTCTTTAGTTCTGAGGCTACATCTACACTACAGCTGGGATCTACACTCCGAGATCAATGCACCAGGGGGTTGATTTAGCAGTTCTAATGAAGAAGACCCTCCCAATTAACTGCAGATTGCTCTCCAGTCAATCCCTTGTACCTCTGAAGAGAAAAGTAAGATAAGTCAATGGGAGAGTTTCTCCTGTCGACCACCCCACGGTGTAGACCCCACATAACTCAACTTAAGGTATATCGACTGCAGCTACCTTATTGACATAACTGGAGTTGCATACCTTAGATCAACTTACTGTGGTAGAGTAAACCAATCCTGAGAAGGTTTTAATATTACTTCATTTCATTTATTTTAGTTATAATCTGGTCCTGTAAGGACTGCATGTAAAAAGGCTGAGATTTCCAAAGGAGACTAAAGAAGTAAAATACCTAATTTGTATTGAATTTCAATGCCATGTGGACACCTAACATGTTTTGGCTCCCTTTGGAGACCCTTACTATAAATTCTATTTATTTTCAGAGAGCGTAGATCAAACACTCAAATCACTGACCAGGCTAGGGAAAAAAAAAGGGAAATGTTATTTTTTTCCTGATAGTGTCATCTCAACCTGAATATTTCCACTTAACTTCTCTTTCTTCAGAAGTCCCTTATGAGGCCTCTCCTCACACTAGGTCCAGGTATGGAGCACTGTCCAGATACCAATTACAGATTTACTATTTCAAACATTATAAACCAAAGAAAACCCATGAGCCCTACAACAAAATGGCATTAAGTGGTTGTATACCGTGTTGCTGCAGCCTTGTCAGTCCCAGGATATTAGAAAGACAAGTGAGACAATATCTTTTATTGGACCAGCTTCCGTTGGCGAGCGAGTGCTCTGTGCAGTCCTCACCAGCAGAAATTGGTCCACCTCATCTGCCTTTTCTCTTCAGTGTTAAATGGCAACATTTTCAAAAGTGCCTACAGGCCTTTGGAATCCCAGCCCAATTTTTAAAGCTGCTTAAGTGACTTAGGAAGTGAAGTCCCATTCACTTTCATTCAGCTTTATATTGACTTTCTCTGGGACTTAGTACTAGATTTACAAAGCCGTGTAGGAACCTAAAGATATAGACGGGTACCCAATGGGATTTCCAAAACTACATCAGCAGGCTACAGCCTAACTCCCACTGGAAGACAAAGAGAATTAAGTGCCTTTCAAATCCCACTAAGCACCATTCTGCTCCTTTTGGCATCTCCTAAACAGCTTTGTAAATGTGGCTCTTAAGGTGTGAAGTCCGTCAGGTGGTTTTGAAAAGTCTACCCCAAATCTACAAGTTTCTCAAATTTAGTGCAATTAGTTATGTGACCCCTAAGTCACAAGGGCTTAATTAGTGGTGTGCAAATGTTTCCATCAACAGGTTAGATCTCTATTGCCCGGCACCCTAGGGATCTATCTGGTCCCAAACAAGGGAGTTTGCTGGACCAGGGGAGGTCTGGCCTCCCTGCTGCTGTCCCGGCTGGACTCCTGACCCCACTGCTGCTGGCTCAGCTGGGCTCCCAGCCCTTATAGGCATCCTGGCTCCATTGCCACCGGCTTGCCAGTTGCCAGCCCCACTGCTGCCAGCTTGGCCAGGCTTCTGGCCCCGGCAGGGCTCCCAGCTGCCAGTCCTCCTGCCACTGGACACCCAGCCACCAGAGCTCTCTGGTCCAGGTTACCAGACCAGAGAATCCCGGTTTTGAGAGATTCCATGGACCTATGTATAACCTCATAATTCCATGTTAGATCCCTGAATAGCAATCGGAGCAGACTTGTCTTTTGCAGATACCCTGAAGCGAAGAGAACGATTTCCCTGCAGCTTCCTTAACAGTAGCTATTTGTAAACTTCTAAATAATTCATGCTGGAACCAAGAGGGAGATAAATCACTAAACCAATTGTTAATAGCAGAGGATGGGGTTATAGCAGTAATTCTCACAGATTAGTTTACTACTTCAGAGCGGGTGTCAGTTCACCCAACCACTAAGAAGAACCAGGAAAAAATACAGACTCATTTGCCGGAAGACTGAAAGCCAGAACCAAACTGTTTGTCAAGTAATTTTGCAGACTTCAAAGCAATATATCCAGTCTCTCTTAGGAGCAACATTAAGGGCCTCCTAAATCCCGCAGTAATATTTTAAAGAACAGAATATTAACCACGAAGCATCTTGTATTGTTCAGCATTCAGTATCGTACAAAACATGTAGACAGCATGATTACCCGGGGATGCTCATACTGAGATGCTCGTTGGGCTAAGTTCCCTTTCTGAGGCAGATACATACATCCCATTAGTGCTAACAGAAGTGGCATGCATAACCAAGAGGAGAATACGGTCACCTTTATTTTTCTTTTCAAAGTGGACTTTGTTACAAAAGTTGTTTTCCTTTGGAAGAGTCTCTAATAGAATCTATAGTACAGCTGTGGCCAGAACAAAACTAATGCGTAGGTCCCTTTTATTCTCCCATGGGGCTTCTGTGGAGGGATGGGGTGAAGCAATAAGCTACCGAAGGAGGCAGAGCAGTATCTGGGGAGCTATTATATGATGGCAAAAAAGGGGAGGGAGGGAGCCTCAAAAAGCTCAGCATCCTTTTGGGGGTCTCCTTGAGCCCTCTGTTGCATCCAGAGTTTAATCCATTTTGAAGGTACGTCTAGACTACAGAATGCATCTGCTTTTCTGAAAATTTTTTTGGAAAAAGCAGATGAGTTTTTTTTGGCATCCCTGTAAACCTTGTTTTACGAGGAAGAAAGGATGTTCTGGAGCCCATGTAGATGGGCCAAATGTCAGAAAAGCCTCTTTCAGAAGAAAAGTCGGGAAAAGATACGCAAATTGTGAACTGTCATTTGCATATCTTTTTCCGGCTTTTCTTTGTAGTGTAGACACAGCTGAGACACCCTCTCCCCACATCATGAGACACCCAGAATGTTGCAAAAGGCGAAGTGTTTTCTCTCTAGAGGGAAGCTGTCGTGGTGCTTGTGATGCCTAGCCACAGTGCAGAGGAACCGTTAGTGTTGCTGATGACGTGCAGTGATGTGGTAGCCATGTCAGTCACAGGATATTGCAGTGCATTATTTCTAATCCTGAGCTCAGAACTCTGAGCTCATTCTTAGCAGGTGTGAGGGTTCCCCCTCTTGCACACTGGAAGACGACAATATTGCCTCCACACCACTCAGCTCCACAATATTATGTGAAGATCTAACAAGGGTCTCTCCAAAAAAAGTAATTAATCCCTGTGATGGCAATTTAGGAAATAGCCCTTTAAAATTACAATTACAACCTAATGGATAAGGAGACATTTAGCTATCGATATACAGGCAGTCCCCGGGTTACGTACAAGATAGGTCCCTATCTTGATCAGTTTCTGATCAAAAAGTAACTGATCAGTTTCAACAGCGGCTGAATCTGGACACCAGTTCTGACTTACATACAGATTCAACTTAAGAACCCCAGGCGTCCCCAAGTCAGCTGCTGCTGAAACTGATCAGCAGCTGATTCCAGGAAGCCCAGGGCAGAGCAACTCTGCCTCAGGCTTCCTGTAGT